TCCATGAACTCTCTCTTTCGTCTCTTTTTTTTTCTATAACTCTGCCATATTTTGTGTTGCATTGTTTGGGTGCGTCTTGTGATAGCAGTCCAGTCTTGGCACATGGTGAATGAGCAGGTTAATCCCTCTGCTGTGTGATACGGGGATAAAGTTAGTGACCAGTCTTGCCAGCCTGATTGTTGATGACTGAAACTAAATACCTGTGAACATAAAGGAATAGCAAGCCTTACTCTTTAATACAGGGAATCTGACCCTCATGAAAAAAGCTCAGGAATTCACACATGAGCAAACACAATGCCAAGTGCACCCCTATTTCGAAGCAAAAGGACTCACAGGATAACTTCCTGATATCCTGATATCAAAATGTTTTTTTAAGTGATGTGTTTTCAGCACATGCCTGGCAGATTGAGCCTCACTAGTCTTATGTAATTTGCGTGACTGTTTTTATTCCACAAAGTCAAACGGACATGTGGTGCAACATCAAATCCAGTAGTCTATCACTACAATAGTACCCGTGGCAGGGAGGGCGGCCCCGAGACACGCACGCTCTCCACAGGGGGTTTCTGCCAATCTGGCAACCGCAGTGGGAGGTCTCACTCTCATCAGCACCGCAGGATCCAGACCACTTGTCTAACTTTTTCCTCACTCCCTCCTATGCACACAGGCTTTCAATTAGAGACAGAGAGGGATGTACACGCAGTTTGCACATTTCAAAATTATTGGGGGTTTTTTTGTGTTTTTTTTTCGTAAAGAACCACTTTACATACAAGAAATAGTCCCACTGAAAACTATCAATAGATTGAGAGCTGTGAAAAAACAAAGTGATCAGGGGTTTGTTTGTAGAGTTGTCTTGCTGTTGACTTTGTTGAATGCAACTTTTCATTTTTTTTAGATATTAAATAATCCTCACTTTTACTGAGGGGGCAGCAGAATGTTTCAGAGGCAGAGATTTTCAGAAGAAAGAGAAGAAAGAGTTTTTATTAAGATTTTTCAAAAAATGTATTTGTTTTTTCCAATTCAGTATTTTTGAAATCTTTCACCCTGTGGATTACTTTTCTGTAAGGAAAAAAAATGAAACTTTTCGTTAAGATCTGAAGCTACATTTTTAACCTACAACACAGGAGCTGACACTACCAGCTCCATTTACCACAAGTTGTGGTGCTTAAATGTATATTGTGATCTTGAAAGCTAAATTCAAACGTAGTCTTAGCTTTGACGGGATTTCTCTGTTTCTTTGGCTCAACTCTTGGACTATAGTTAAAGGCCTTAGAAATGTGTGTACCAGTTCACAACATTTTATCACTTGTGGACCTCAGAAAGAGCATTTCTTATTCTTTGTTATTTGCAAATGCAAATATACACTCATTAAATCACCATCTGAAGAACACTTACTTCAATACAAATAGTCAATGCACAAAAAGACTGTGAAGCAGGGGATGAACACACTTCAGTGGTCAGTCTTCCTGACCAAACAAAACAATTTAACTACCTGGTTCTAACATGTAGTCATTTGGACGTTGGGTTTCGTATTTTGCTGGACTTAGGAGTTTTTTTTTTTTAAATACTAGTATCTACGGTGCTGAGAACTTAAAAAATATTTTGAGAAATTTCCCAAAGCTATTGCAAAAATAATTTAAGCTAACCCATTCAAAGAGTCATTCAAATGCTTTTGAAAAGATCGTAATTTGAACAGCTATGTCATGTAATAGCTTAACACAACACAATTCCTTGCTGAACAAAGCGGGTGTTTGTGTTGACTAGTGTAGCATTAAGGGTTACTGAACGATAGACTTGATGATTGAACTTCACAGTGACGTAAAGAATCCCTCTTTCTAAAACACAGAAAACACCAAGTTTGGATGACACATCAAGCACAGGGCCTGTGGTTTCATGTGACTTCTCAATAGACACAAAACTAAACAGGTCTGTCGCTTTTGATGCTCTCACTCTTTTCTGACAATGGTGAGTGGATAAAACGTAAGCCTCTGTGCTTAAACCCTCCCTCTCTCTCTCCCTCTACCTAAACAGAACGCCCAGATAATGAGGCAGGGTGAGAAAGTGTAAAGTGGAGGTGTATTGAGGGGCCATGTAAGCTGGCCTAATCCTCCTTCACAGTATTTGTTGTGTTATTACAGCCTTGAGACTTGTGGATCCTGTGACACGGGCTCTATTCACTCCTGTAGTCCTCAGCCAGTGAGCTGCAGAGAGACACTGTTGTCCTTCTACAGAGGATTTTCAAAGGTGGGATTGTCCTCAAAGACCACACAGGACCGCACCCCCTGAGGACACAACATGTGGTCAAATCTAGTGAAAAAAGCCAAATACCAGAGATCAAACAAAAAAAAACACACAGACTCTTAAAATTCACTCAGCAGCTTTATTTTTGGTGTCTCCAGACAGAGAACCCAGCTACATGGACGTTTCAGCAGTGATGTTGTATGAAGTCCCCCCAGTTATGACATGAAAGCAGGTTACTGGCCGTTTTATTTGGCTGAATGTGCTGCCTTAAAGGAGCAATATGTAAGATATTTGCTGAATTAAATCATAACATTACCTTACTTTATCATCAGACATTAAGGAAACATGTTGATGTGCTGTCTTCTCTGAAAAAAATGCAGCAGCCAGTATGTCCTCCTTATATCTTAAGTCCTAAGTTTCAAATCTTGTCAAGAATGGTCTGTTTTTGTTTTGACCAGAGAAAGGGGGCGGTTTTAAGGCACCCCTAACACAGGCGTTTTGGACACCCCTCAGTTTGCAAGATATGAGACCAGTAATCACGGCAACCCTACATTTGTTGTAGTGATGGAAGCGGACAAGTGAACTGGTTCAGATAGAACTGATTCTACCCAACCTAAATGCCATGGCATTCTACTAATAAGCTCCACGAGCTGAAACGTGGTAAAAGGACAAACACTGGAGATACTTTTTGAAAAATGGAGAGGTAAGAATGCAAAAAGGTTTCAATGCCGATGAAGAGCTGGTTAAACACTGAGGCTCCCGTGTTTGCGACATGTCAACCTGCATGTGCATCGACTCTAGAGAGGAGGAGGGGAGGGGGGGGGCAGCTCTTTTCAATGTTTTCAAATTTGGACTGCAGTACCCATTATTAACACTACGTGTCAGAGTTACATATTGCTCCTTTAATGAAAACGTATCCATTCTTATCTTTGCTGCCTGCATCCTTTCAACTCAATGATCAATTTTAAGACATTATTTTGATTAAGACTTTCTCCTGTTGGATCCTAGTGAAAGAAAAACATTCTACACTTCTGTTTCATTCATATCTGAGAAAATGACCTCATACCATGTACAGTACAGTAAAGAGTTCAGTGTATTTTACAGTACACATAATTATTTAAAAACAACAAACAAGTGGAACCATGTTCACAAAATAACACATGTTGCCAGTGTGATTGGTCTTTCAAGTTTAAATGAGAATTTATTGAACCGTTTGATCATTTGTCTGTGATGATACCCTGCAATGTTTGAGGCTGAACATTTTTCCACCCTTCAGCCTCAGACTGAGCGAGGTGCGTGTGTGTGTGTGTGTGTGTGTGTGTGTGTGTGTGTGTGTGTGTGTGTGTGTCTGTGTGTGTGTACTTCAAACACTTACTGTGAATGAGTTTATACTCTACTTGTTGCAGCTTCTGTAAATTCACCTCCTGTTAATATTAACATACAGTGCTGATACGAGGTAGTAGAGAATCATTAACTTGTAAATGTAAACCATAGAACAGAGGTGAATGGACATATTCCCGTATGATGAAACGAGCATCACTAAGTAGGGGTATTGCTTTCGGCTGCTGCTCCTATTGCTGGCTTATTCAAACATTAAAATGGCTCAGATGATAAAAACAGCTTTGCTCACCACGCATTACTTCATCACTCTTATTGGGCACTACGATCCCATCCTGTCCAGAAAACTCAATACACCAATAAAAATGTGCTCATCCTAACCTACATTATATCTGCACGTGTCTTCAAGCTACAGTTAATATTATATAAATACTTAAAGGGATACTTCACCCATTTGCATTAAGCTTTGTATCATTAGAAACCTGGTAGTATTTTTGAATGGTCGTGCATCTCTCCCTCATTTTCCCCTGAGATGGGAAATCTTTGTATTTCTGAGTCTGAAAAGGAGCTTCGAGGGACGCAAAATGACGATTTTTGTGTCACTGGAAGCTGTTGCTGTTAGCGGGGTGAAACTACAACGCAAGTTCCTCGTATTTTCGAACTCTGAAGCTACAGACCAATCACAGATCAGTGGGTGGGAACTCACTCCCAGAATCAAAACTTAACGTCTGCTATATTGCTTGGAAGCTATGGTAACAGGCTCTATGGAGAAAGCTGATAATGGCGAAAAAATATAAATATAATGGCGAGACGGCTGCTCGCCGGGAGCCCGGGAGTTCGGCCGCCGCAAGCCCAGCCGCCGGGATCCGCGACACAAGACCGGCCTGTCAGCAGCAACCGTCTCGCGGCTATATTGCCGCCGCCGGCCGCTGCCAGCTCAGCAGCAGAGACATAAGGCCTGCCTGTCGGCGGCGGTGAGGACGAGGAGCCGGGGCCGGCTCGAGCTGGGGCGGACTGGTAGTGTCGGTGCTCTCACTGTTTGCCTATGGACACAGACATAGAGTCTGTTTTCTGCCAGGAACTTCCAAGATCAATTCTGGAAGAAATCTCTGAATCAGTTGATGAAACGGTCTTATGTGTTGAAGTAAATATGTCTGTAAATGTTGTTAATTCTATATTTCTACTGCTATATTGTATATTTTGGAGAAACTGTATCGATCAAATTTCCCTCTGGGATTAATAAAGTATTTCTGATTCTGAACTAGAGGACCTTAGTGGGAGTGGCCTGCGGTGCTGTGCATTCTGGGATTTGGTGTCTTTCATCCACATGAGCCAAAAAGACACTTTCTGCCTTTTCTCAGCCAAGAAGGCACCAACTTTAAAATTTAATTCACATTTCTACTACATACATGACCCAATGTCAATACAGATTCATGTTTCAACGGTGGAAGTATCCCTTTAAGACTTATTAAGACAATTTAATGCAAAATAAAAAAGTAAGGCCAGTTGTGCTAGTGCAATAACAAAAGAAACACTCTGTAATAATAAGAGTACTTAAAGCATGGCTGGTTTCTCCTGAAGAAATGGCAGAACAAGAAAGTAAACTTATTCATTCTCGATACTAAAATGGTTTGCTGAGAGTTTTATTTAGCTGTATTAAAGGACTTCTGAGGTGTCTGAATACTGGTGGTTAAAGTTATTTTTAGCCCCTCATCAGGACCCTGATCATGCTCTCACTTGGGCTGCTCTTTGAGCTGGTGTTCCCTGAGAGCACCAGTGAAGGTAGCTGTCCACACGTGCAGGGCCGTCCCAGCCGAGAGGGTGAGGAAGAAGAGGAAGGCAACCTGGAAACCAAACCAATCCACCACGCATCCCGCCAGGGCGCTGAACGTCAGCTTCCCCAACACCTCCAGAGTCGCCAGGAAACTGTAGTGAGTGGACTGAAAGAGAGAGGATGAGTGGGGAGGAGGAATTGTGGGAAACGTGGCAAAGCAGAGGAGGTAAACAATAAACGGAAGCAAGTGCAGAAAAAAGAGATGAGAGTTTGGAAATAAAGGCAAGTTGTAGGAAATTAAGGGAGCAAAAAAAGGAGAGAGCATATTTGAAATTGAGAACTTATCATTGTTACAAAAGGTGACACTTAAACTTATCATGTTGCAAATCTTTACAGTTTATGTTTTTAATATGGAAAAAAAATACAGAAATAAAGGATATGTAAAAAGGCTCATTTTCAGTAAACATCCTCAAAGAGCAAAAGGAAACATAAGAGGAGAGAAATAAAGACTTGAAGCCTGAAAGAGAAAGTGTGAGATCATGGCCTGAGTCGATGGATGGAGGCCAAACGAGGAAGACTATCTGATCCCAACCTGTAGGCATTCAGGCTGGAAACAGAGAAAGACAGAGAGAGAGAGAGAGCGAGAGAGAGAGATTATATAATCCATGTTATAGCCTCTCTCCTGTGCCAGAGAGCTCAGCACCCAGGTAAGGCAGGTAACTTTTAGACAACAGAAGGACTCTGGTGGCACCTAGACCGTCCACTGGAAAAAAATATTCATGGGACATTGAACTCTTTAGAGCTTAAATCTGTCTGTCAAAGAGCAGCGAATACAGCCGAGAATTCTCTAATAAAAATGAAATAAAATGTGTCTCTGACGGGCAAATTGACAGAATGTTCTTTGTTTTCTATTTCACTGATGAACTCATGGTTAAAGTAATTTATAAGTTATGTAGACATACTCTCTTGTTTCAGCTTTAGTGAAGCGCTACTCTGTTAGTCAGATCAACAATATATTTGAGTTCAGTTCATGTGCTGGGATTGGGATTGTACGGTAACTTTTTCTTGCTTGTATACGTTTTATTTATTCCTTAGATAAGATATGTAAGAGACTAATGAAATGGTTAGTCGCATTTCTCCATCGTCCAAAGTGATGTCTGTAAATGTCTGGTTTTTAGGATTATTTTTGGGGCTTTTTGCCCTTATTGGATTTGACGATTGGAGATAGACAAAAAGTAAGGAGATAGAGTGGGGGATGACATGCACCAAATTACAACAGTACCGGCAGTTGAACCTATGACCAGTATGAAGAGGACTGTAGCCTACCGTATGTTAATGAGGAACCTATTCTACCAACTAAAGCTAAACCCCTACCCCTTCACATGTCTCCTTATTCTTGCATGAATATTACTTGGGCTGCAAAATTAATCGCAATCTCATTGTTATGGTGATACATAGAAACTATGAGTTATAGCAAATATGCACTTGTAAATACTTTTTTGTGTTATTGCACTACTGTACATATCGTTATCGGAATAATGAACTTTGTCATCACTTATTTTTCTCATATTGTGCAGGCCTATATATAGACTTGTAATTACACCCTAAAAACACATTTGTTGTAATCCTTCTATTTGCATTTTAACATTTCTCACTAAAAAGGCAAATGAACTGAGAGTTGGGAAACTTGCAGTGAGTTTAGACTCTCTGTGCTGTAGTGGTCTTCACACTGAGGTATAGAGCTCTGTGTGACCACAGCTAAGTGGAGTGCCTTTATTCTGAGCAACTTGTTGAACAGATTGGGTTTCTTTCTCCTGGGGATCGTTAACAAGCACTCATGCTATCAGCTTTCTGCCACCGGATAGCACTACCTTGAATAAGACACATACATACACACAACCAGCACAGGGGGCTAATACTCTCCCCTCCTGTGTGTGCTAACACACTGATTCACACACCGACACACTAAAGAGCAAACAGTGTATGTGTCATGAGAACATCTCAAATGAACCCTTGTTCTCATCATCGTGTGCGATTGTTTCTGTTTTTATTTTATTTGTAACTAGATCTTTATTTCTGTTTGACAGCCTGCGATTTGTCACCCCATTCTTCTTCATTTTTTAAGAGTGACAGCAATTTAAATGATAATTTGTCACCTTGAGAGATTGACTGAGTGACGTCTGAATGGCTGTGTGAACAGCTATCACCTGCAGGCACCGATGGCCCAGTTACGACGGGACAAAAGGAGTTATGTCAAAGAGGAGAAAACGGGAGAGGAGAGGAGAAAATCAGGAGAGGAAAAGAGAGCGTTTAAAGGACTGCAGGGTGACAAAGACATGAGAGTGAGGGGGTACTGTAAGAGGGACAATGCCAGAGAGAGGGAAAAAATTAAGGGGTGGGGGGGGGCAAAGAAGAAAAAAAACAGAAGAGAGGCAATGAAAAGAGACCACGGCTGAAATGATCTTGGTGGAAACAGCTGATGACAACTAACAGGTATAGGTGACGATAGGTGTGGTCTGAGGATTTCCCTCAATGGCCTCCCTTTGACAACCAAAGGAAATGACCTAAAATTATATAACAGCACAATCAAATCAAGATAGAGGGGAGTTAAAGGGGAGGAAAGAATGAGAAAAGAAAAGCACACTTTGTTGTCTGTTTGTTAAGCCACAGGAAATTACATAACAGTGGAGGACGAGACAATTGAAGTGAAAAAAAAAACAGTGATAAAAGAGTCAAATTATTCACGAACAATATCTTACTCTCATACTTGTATGAGAGTAAGATACATGTATACATGTATGTAACATGTATGAATAATGTCTTATTTACCTGAATGCTTTCCTCTGCCCTCTGAGTGCAATGCATCATGGTGGTGAAGGTGAGCGTGGTGATCAGACCGCCCAGGAAGTGCTGAACGCTCATGCTCAGGACGGCCATACCTGAGGGAGCGAACACACACCAGAGAAATCAAGCAAAACACGTCTGAGTGTGCTGAAGTTTTTCTGCTAAAGGTGTATCAATTTATCTGCTCAATATACTATTCGATGTAGGATTCAAAGCAGCAAGACAAAGCAGGGAGAATCAGTAAGCTGCCGAAGTGCCCCCCCCCCCCAACTCGTCCCCAAAACACATGTAGTGTATCCTCTGAGGGGACGTGGCAGAGCGCTGATATTGGGAAACACAGAGGAACCACAGAGCCTATCTGTCTCTGCTCCCGCTAACACTGAATTATTCACTCAAGCCGCCAGAGCTTTTCCTGAATAAGACTCTTCAGTCAGAGACACAACAATGACGGAGTCACACCGAATGATCAGACTGGGAGAGTGGGAAGCGGAGGGTTATCATGTAATATTGAAAAATATTTTCTGCGTTCTTTTTTTTTGGTTGAGTTTTTCTAAAATCTTTGTTCTGGGGTAACAGCGAAAGTGGGGGGGGGAGGAGGGGGAGGGAGGGAGGGGGCTCAACTTTCAGTCTGAGAGGCCTGATAGGGGAACAGACAGCTCTGATAGAGATGAATGACGACGATCTGAATCCCAACAGCTTAGAGACCAGCTATGTTTCAGAATCAGATGTATCATTCAAGACATTAATAAGTGAAGGGTCCTCTGGAGAGAGAGAGAGAGAGAGAGAGAGAGAGAGAGAGAGAGCATCTGTCTATCAATATCCTCTCCATCACCCACTCTCCCTCTACTTAACACCTGGCTCAAAGGCTCGACCTGTAGTCCAGCAGTTAGCCGTCGTCTTTTTGGTCCATTTCTGAATCTTTCTGACACCATCAATCCAACGTTTAAGCCCCAGTCATGCATGTCAGATAGTAAGCAAGATTTTAACCTCTCTCTCTTTCTACCTAATTTATTCTTTGCACAAATATTTCTGTCACTTTTTGTGAACACCAAGTGCAACACTATAAACGCATTTAAGGTCCATGTGTGAAAATAGCTGCCTTCATTCCCACATAAAAAAAAATGATTTCAAAACGACTAAACGACACTGCCTTTAAGAAGAAGTCTGCTTGAATCCTCCAAGAAGAGGTAGACAGTGTCTGAAATGTGAGTAGTTTTACCTAAGACTGATATCTGCTTGTGCAACTGTTAAATTTGATACAATTTAGAGACCTGAAGATGTGAAACATTTTAAAGGAAAAAAGCAAACCAATTGTACAGTGGATGTGTTTTTTTCAGCACCAAAAAAGATGCAGGGAACTAACAAAGTGGCGAATTATTATAAGGGAAGCAGATTTTTTTTTTTTTAACTTAAATGTTTCAGATCACCTAACCAAAAAGAAGACTTCACTTATGAAGGTGAAATATTAAGAACCTTTACTGTGAGATGCTAAAGGGAACATTTTACACATTTCTGTTGAAGACAGAATGTTAATGTCATATCTGTCAGCAGACACACTGGAACATTTACAAAACACACATTGACATTATGTCATCAACATCCTGAGGCTGAAAACACCACACAGTGGCAGAGTAGTGGATGTCCTACGTCCAAAGTTTTCAGAGAGTTGGTTTTGGCTCAGCGTTGTGCTCATTATAGGGAACATATTTAAGAGGTTGTGATCATTGTTTCTCTCTTCCTGAACGAGTTTAGAATTTAATTGGTGCACTGCATCGTGTGATTTCATCGTTTTGGTATTCACTTCATTCTGTTTACATCTGATAAATGAATATGTTCAAACAGCAGCCATAAAAGTACAACCCAACAGAATAAAAAGTGTTTATTCTCATGTAAAGCAGCCTGAGCTTCACTTCATGTTATCATAAACTCTTAAAGTGGACTCTGTTATTAGCTTTGTTTTCAAACAATGTGTTTATCCACATAAACATGGTACATGAGTAACCTAAAGCCATGTACTAACATGTACCTGTGTGCTTTGTGTGTTTATTCAAGAGACTAGCAGGTGAAATGAGGACGGCATGTATGTGGGATCAGGAGCTGCGAAGGTTAAATATGTAAATACACAGAATAAAATAAACAACATGTTGGTGAGCTGATACAATATTCATGGAGAAGACCTTAAGAGTAACAAGGTCACTCGAACTGCTGTTATGTGTGATGAAACTATGTTCTCTCACCTTTCAGGAGCGGTGACGGCTCGAGCACAGTGAGTAGAGAGCTCTGGAAGACCATGCTGACGGTTCTTAATACAAACACTCGTCTCATCATAGCCCCGATGCTGAGAGGAGGACAGAGACAAGAGAGTATCAGACAGATGATCACCAACTTTAACATGTTGAGAAGTATTATGATACAGTATGTGGTGAAAGAGGCTCAAGGCTGCTACCATTAAACTTAATGATATTCCACACTTCTTTTCATCTCACACACAATTACACACGCGCACACACACACACACTCCAATGCACGCGCACACACAGAAACATGCGTGCTTAAGTAAACAAGTCCCCAGACACTAATTGATTCCCTGTTAGTGAAAGAAAATCATGCCCCTGTGGGTTTGCTTCGTGACGTAATCAATAACCTAAGGAGTTCCCCAGCATGAAGAAGATAATTAACCACTGTTATCACACACACACAAACACATGTACACAAGCACTCACACTGTTGTGTGACATCAGGGATTAACAGTGCCAATCACTCAGAGGATGCCTGCCACTCAAAGGACTGTGAGTGTTTGTTTATGTTTTTTTGTGCATGTCATTATTTTATGTGTAAAAAAAATTAATAAAATAAAAAAGGCAGAGAGGAGGAAGGGGCCCCGTCTCACAAAGCAGAATATTTAATTTAGTTTGAGAAGTGCACCCAGTAAAAACGCTCAACAGTTTCAGTCCAAGATGGAGATTTAAAGTTCCTGTCAAGTTAAACAGTTTCAGCTCTTCTCCTGCTTCATCATGTTTGTTTGGTGTACAAACACAGATCCAGCACACAAGCTGTGTGTAGTTAACCTGAGGAGACCCCGTCTGCCCTGGTTGACCCTGCTCACTTTTAAGCTGTTTACTTGCTGAGTCACTGACTTACTATTATCATACTCTAATCCTCTCTTACTATACTCTGTTAAACATTTAGAAAGCTCTAATGCTGCAGCTAATTAAAGAAATGTTAGAATATCATTTTATACATAATACTGATTATGATACCTGAACCTGTGTCTCTGCTGACACAGATGACCATCATATAAACTTAAAGATTTCAAATACCATGTTTTCAAAGAGCTGAACAGGCCTTCATCAAACCCTGTGAGGGTGTTACGTTAGCGTGTGCTAAAGTGAAAACTGGTTTAGGCTCAGCACTTTATAAAGCATCAAATTATACAAACAGGCCGTATCTTTTTTTATTATCTAGCTGGACGATTATAAATAAATATATCGAGGAATAAGTAACAATCTCATCTTTGGACACTTCTCTTTTGTGCCTCCCATGACGATGACAGGTTGTTGTTGTTGATTGATGTTTTTCCAGTTATTCTTCGATATCCAATCACATTTAGGGCTGTATCAGAAGTAACTTGTTTGTTTAATAAATGTCAAAAAGCTGTGAAAAATCACCATTCAATTGTCTTGTTTCATCAGACCAACAGTCCAACACAAGTTATTTAGTTGTTGGGAAAAGGAAAGTGGCAAATTCTGAACAGATGAAACAATATCAAATAATGTAATCATTATCTAAGTTTCAGTTTCTAAGACCTCTAACAAGATGACTCCTTGAATGTCTGTTTCTTTAGTTACTGCTCCTGAACTCTTTAATCATCTGAAATCTATTTATTACGCCTTTTCATTTCTGAAAATGTATATCTCTCTCTCAGACCCGCTCTCTCTCCCTCCCTTCCTCCCTCCTTCTTTCTGGGTATCATCTCCACTCACCATCTCTCCCCCCTCCAGCCTCTCCCCACCTCTTACCTCTACTGGAAACCAATCCTGCATCATTCACATGCTAAACACATTCTTCTCAGCTGCTCCTTTACCTCCCGTCTCAATGACAGCCTTTCATATCACGCACTCTCAGGAGATGCTGTGTGTGTGTGTGTGTGTGTGTGTGTGTGTGTGTGTGTGTGTGTGTGTGTGTGTGTGTGTGTGTGTGTGTGTGTGTGTGTGTGTGTGTGTGTGTGTGTGTGTGTGTGTGTGTGTGTGTGTGTGTGTGAGTGTTTCTGTGTGAGAAAGAGAACCTGCCTGGCTGCCACCTCACACGGGCCGGGCCCAGATAAGAATAGCCGTGTTCTCAGGTTGCTGCTGGCGGTTGTAAAGGGGGTCATTCACTGACCACTCAGTTGATTCTGATGGAGCGGAGGATAAACCTTCCAACTGAGCTTTTAGAGGTGGGCCCACAGCCTGCTGGACACCACTCTCTCTGAGGGTTTGTGTATTTGTGTGTGTGTGACTGTGTAACTCGGAGAGAAGTGCTTATCTGACATTGAGAAGTACATAACTGTATATAACCACAAATATTCATTTTCATAACATCATTCAGAATTAGCTGATTTGATCTTTACTTTGCATCCATAGAGTGGATCTACGTTAACTAATTCTATATAATAGGACACTGTCAATTTGCAGTCAAGTTTGATCTTTTTTACCCAAGAAAGTTAAAATGTTCGAATCATTTCATGTGTCAGCAAAATATGAGAGATATCGTAATTATTATAGTGTTTGGAAAAGTAGTACATTAGTAACCGTTTAGTAATTCATCAGTTCAAATATCAAACTGATCTGTCTGACAGAGGAGCTTTAATTACAGGTCAAACAAGGTGACCTTCTCTGTTTAAGATTCCTGAATCATTCATGGAGTTTTAATACTTGAGTGTTAATTAAAGAGCGATCAATTAATTAATAGCATAAAGATTGAGTAAATGTCTTAACCCACACTGATACCTAAAGTTTTGGCACAACCAGAGACTGAACCTGATGATGACTGCTAGACGTACTCTTTAACAGACATCACGAAAGCTGTATTCTGAGTAGCTTTGCTTTATAATGAAAAAAGAACAATCTACTACAAAGGTCTAATTTCATTAATTAATGTCTGAACTTGTTTCCATATTAGTGAGTGCTACATTTAATTCCCTTATATCCCTCATATATATTTCTGCCTCCAAAACTTGATTCTGTTCTGGCCTTAGGAACTATACATAAAGTTGGCTTCATAGCAAAAACATTTTCCTGACATGGATAAAAGGAAAGAAATATGTTGGACATCTAGTTACAGTTCCTATACCTATGATCATAATAAGAGCCCCCCCCCCAACAGTTATTTTTCCCTGATCATTAATAAAAACGATGTTAGAAGCAGCTGACTTTCCCTCTCTCTGTGTCTTCAGACTGTGATCAGTTTATCATTGTCTTCTGCCCGTTTTCATTCTCTGATGACTCTTATTTCAGAACAACATGACATATTAAAAAGATCAAAACTGGATAGTTATGGGAGGGGTCTTTAACATTATAGGAACCTATAGTGTGTTAACATACTATCCTCTATAAGGGCAGAGTTGTTATTTATAGTTCATTACATCATACTGGCTTCAGGCTGACTTGTTCTATGTGATCCTAGTGTGAGCAGACGTACAATCTTACGCAATGACGGTCAAATGGCAAAGTGTCATTGTGCTGAGGGGGCAAATATGTAAAGGCGACATCCTAACAGACTGTGAATCCTAAACTAGATTCAAATGGGACTGAAGTTACTGTAAATAAATGTTCAACATCAGCAGTATAGAAATTGTTCATTAACTGGCTCTCTTTCACTGTGTAACAGAATAATTACATTCAGGGAAAACACCAGAGTTTCAGCAGAATCACTCAATCTAATAACCCTAATGTAAAATAATGCACTATAACACAGCTATTTTGATTATTAAGAAACTCTTAAATTGTAGTATCATTTGTCAAATCTGCAAATAAAATTCAGATAGAGTTGCGCGTTGTCTCTGTTAACCCTGAGGAGTGTGTATACGTGTGTGTGTGTGTGTGTGTGTGTGTGTGTGTGCGCACACTCCAGAGACTGTGTGATGGATTTGCTGCTCATGTTGTTCTCACACCACACACCAGACACAGGGGGTCCCTGAGCTCTCAAACAAGGCTATGTTTACTTAAATTACTGTACACACACAGTCAGACAGGCAGAAAGACACACACACACACACACACACACACACACACACACACACACACACACACACACACACACACACACACACACGCGCGCGCGCACACACACGCGCACACACACACACACACACACACACGAACACACACACACACACACACACACACACGCACACACACAGACTCAGATTCAGACGAGATGAGCCTAGGCAGAGAATTAAAAAAACTGGAAGAGCAGGCACAGAGTGAGGAGGTAAAAGGAGATGCAGGTAAGAAGGAGTCAGTGAAAACAAAAAGCTTGGAGGAGGAAGAAGACAAGGACGTGGAATGGGGGAGGGGGGGGGGTTATGGCTGAATTGAAACTCAGCCATTTTTACATAAGATCATATGGTCTGATTTCTCCTTCCCATGACATATCAGTTGTTTTCATCTGTTGGTCCAGTATATAGTCAAATATAAATCCTCTGAAGGAAGGTTTTGGCTAATGTTTTCTTGAGATTCAGACTGACTTGATTCTAAATGAAAAAATACACTTCCTCCCTGTGGAAAGAAAAACTCACAGAGAGAGCTCACACGTCTGAGAGGTCGGTAAATGAAACAGCTGAAATGATCAGATGAAAAACTTGTTAATTAGTCAATAAACATAAAAAACTGGTCAGAAAATCAATGTTTAAGATTTTGATGAGTCTCTTTTGCAATTTTTTGCAACAAAAAACCTTAAACAGCGTGATTTCAGACTCTTAAAGACAAATATGTTCTTCTTTTGTGTTTTTGTATGACAGTACTGAACTGAAGACGTCAGGTTTAGCTCTGGGAAAATAGTGTCCTGCATATTTCATATATTCTTTACACATTATATATATTTTAGCTTTAGCCATTTTAGCTAATAGCTTATATATTTTAATGGTGTAAATTACTATATAAATTTAAAGTATTTTTGAAGTGTGGCTAGTAGTGAGAAGTGGAGAAATCCATGAAAATACTGATTTGTTGAATTTCAAACAATGGGTGATCGCAATCTCGATCTTTGACTTTTATGTGTTTTATATATTTTTTTAATGTAATGATCTTCTAGCACCAAAGATCATTTTGAATCTAACAAATCCTAGGACTGAACAGCTTTGATAAGCACCTTCTACTACTGTCATACATACTGTCATGTGAATCCAGAAATACCCATAATTCTGATGTTCCTAAAGGCTACCTGAACTGAGCGAGCAGCAGGCCTCCCAGCGACGACCCACAGATGGAGAAGCCCATGGCGATGACGCCGTTCCAGAAGCCGAGCTCCCGGGCGGTCATGTGATGATCCAACAGGAAAAGAGGAAACATGGTCACTGCCCCCTGCTCACCTGGGAACAAAGAGACCCGACAGAAAGGTGGTCAAAAAGGAGGAAAGACGAGAATCTGATATTAATGGGTTTTCCAGTCCAATTTACTGATGGTAAAATAAGTGAAAATATACAATCAAAAGCCAATGCAACACAAAACAAAAAGTATTATGTACAGAACGGTCTATGACTTAGGATTATTTTTTACACCTACAGGTAATATGTAAGTCACTCCCAGAATACACACGCCTGTTCTAATGAGTCTAATACGATGAAGACTTTAGTATCAAACTGTTTAGCCTGCAAGACTGAAAAACATGCTCTTCCTGAGATGACTACTGCAGAATCAAATATTGCACACCAACACTCTGCGCACCTAGGCCTATTCCTGGAAAGTGTCAATAATAGATGCCTGACAAGAAAAAGAATCCCCTCAGTCACTTTATCAAACGGGGGCCTAGCACTTTTCCTAAAGCACAAAAAGGAAAACACAACAAAAACACAGAAACTTGCACAGATGAAACAGACCTCACAAAGACCTTTCAGTCAAAATAAAAAGTTTCTGTCAGACAGTAAGACTTTCTCTGTGAGGCGTTGAATGTGGGGGTAATGTTCTGCTGAACATTACAGTAAAATATTCAGTGGTGCCGACTACACGCCATTATTATATTAATGGAGACTGACTTCACAAAGACAGTGGGACCAAGGAGCTGCGTGACTGACAGCTTGGCTCCCAGACTGCTGTCAAAGACGACACAACACAACCGACGACTCACTCACTCAGTCAGCCAGGAGACAAACAAAAATAGAGAAAGAGGAAAGAAAAAAGGCAGATGAAACAGACTGAAATGAAAAAAATAATAATAAGAGAAAGCTGTGAGGGCTCCCAGTGATCGGGAGTGCAGTAGCAGAGCGGGAGTGTCACCGCTGTAATGGCGGCGTGACAACCCGGCAGAAACGTGGGGAAGGAAATATGAATTGTGCGTGTAGGAAACACGTTTCTTACTTCTGTCACTCATGTTTCAGTGTTTGCCATGTATGTCGTTATTACAGAGGCGGACCACTATGTTGAAGATGTTAGTGTAAATCTAATTAACCTTTTGAAATATACACCACATATCTATCTGATGGACTGAGATGTTTTTCTCCTTGATTGAATTTAAATGAGCTAAAGAGTTGAGAGAGCATGTACTAACATGTCACAACACATAGGTATGGATCAATACATCAACTCAGTGAGCAACGATTCAATTAGAGATGCACAGTAAAAATATTTATACAGCCAAACATCTAATCATTCAGTACTTAAAAAAAAAAAACATAATCTCATCATAATTCAATATAACCTAAAGGGATTTCTTCAAAAGGATTATTTTGCCAAACCAACCAAAACCCAAAGACTCTTGTTGTACTTTTAACGTGCACATTATTCAAACTGGAACCTATACAGTACATGTGTAGGTCCCTACATTGTGAAGTTACACATGGTTGACATATTCACTTTTTAAATGATTTGAGTTACAAAACAATTTTCAAATAGTTGACTTTTAATTGTCTTGTTATAAATTGAATGATTTATCAGTTAATAAACAGCTCTATGTCATTAAAAGGTCATTCCTCTTTATCTTCAAGGTTCCCTTCACTCTTTGAAACTCCCACAGCATCGTACAGTTGTCAGTATAAATACATGAGATCATCAAAGAAGTCAAACCCAAGATAACTGACTTAAATTAGACATCACATTACACATCGTCCAGTGTGAGCTGATACACTCACACCCTCTGTGTGTATTATTCACACTGTAATCTCTGTCTCTGTTCTGCTGAACTGTCTTGAGTTGTATCGTCTGCGCTGTGAGCATATTAGTCCAAATAAAGGAAACACTGGCAGCAGTGGTACCCATGATGCCTGGCTTGTTTACCCATGGTTCTGTGCCGCCGATCTTGTCTGCCTGTTGTTTAGCTCAAAGCTCAGAGTGTTCACAGTCCTGCCTTCAACTAATTATTTCTTTAAAGAGCGGGGGATGGAGGGGGGGGAGGGGGGGCATGCAGACAAACACAACCACACTGATTATTCCTTTCTATAAATATTCTCAAAGCAACAATTGTCCATTTCAGCAGGGATTTCATTAGACAACCACAAAGATTAAACAAGCAGAGTGAAGGGGAAGGAGAGAGACGCTGAGAGGGGGAGAAAAGAGGGGACCAAGAGAAAGTCAGTGATAACAAGAATTTAAAGAGAGACAGCAGAGGCACATCAGTTGAGATGTAGTGCAGGCAATGACAATCATAATGCACTATATGCAATAAATAAAAGGAGATGTGAGTTTAACAAGAGTTGAGAAAAAGGAGCGCAGCGAGGGATGGAGACAGATAAAGACAGAGGAAGAGGAGGGGGCTGCAGATGAACAGAGACATTGTTATGAGGTTAGTGAAGGGGAAACAGAGGAGAGATGGCAGGCTGTGTGTGTTTATGTTTACATTAGAGGCAGACAGCAAAAACCGACAAAACTATTTAACATTCAGCGAGAAAGTGACAGGAAGAAGAAAAGCGGGGATGTTTTGTTTATCGGGGTCCTGACGACATAAATCGTTTAATAGACTTTCAAGCAAGTACAGCAGCAGAGTCCATCATCCTGAAAGAAAGACAGCAAAGACAGAAAACCTGCTTTCCTTCAAAGCTACTGTCTATGAGCAAAGACAAACATGGAACAGTTTGGTGATTTCACTTTTGATTTCTGTTGCTGTCTAACAGATTCTGTTCAAAGTGTTTGTAACGCTTTAGGCAACAATTCATTCAAAATCTGACAAGAGAAGCAGAGGGTTGTTTCTTTTATTGTGACTTTACAAAAAATATATATATCTTCATTTAAGAAAAAGAGCACTTCGGTTTAACTTACTAACTGGTGGCTCTAGAAGTTATTTGTCTCTCTTCTCAGAAGAATGAAGGACACAGACAAACACCCATCTAACTGGGTACCAAATGTTTGACAGAGCACCTCATATTGATCATCCTCATTTTTATAAGACCTGTCGTCCAAGATATTTTTATGGTTTTGCAACTATACTGACTTTTCAGAGCACAACACCTTTATGTGTGGTTGGAGGGGGCTGGGTGGCAGTATCAGGAGGGATCAGTGTGGGATAAGAGTAAGAGGAGGGTGAGATGAGGGGTGAGGGGTCAATGGGGACGGTGGGGTCGAATCTTGACGTCCGTGCAGCAGCTTAGACAAAAGGGCTGGCAGAGCAGCAGAGATCACTGAGGACACGTAGTCCCCCTGCAGAACGACAATATCACTCCCTGCTGAGAGCGCGGTAAACAGACAAGTTCATACATACAACACGTTAGAGCACAGTGTGCACACACACACACACACACACACACACACACGTTTAAATGTCCATGTGCATACACATGCACACACCTTTCAGCACCACAGGATCCCTGAGGACAAACAGTAAACAGAGAGTACACTTTCATAATATCTTATGCACAGTCTATTGAAAAACACACACACACACACACACACACACACACACACACATACACACACACACACCAGGTGTTCCTGCAGATCTATGTACATGGAGGAGTTCTTCTGGCCTGAAGGGCTCCTGAACATGGGAAAAAAAACACTCTACAACTAAGAAGTAGCATGGACAACCTCCATCTCTGCCACCAATACAAACCTGACAGTAAGATGTTGTTATTTTGTTTCTTTTCTGAGAAAATATGAAACAATATCAATCCAGGGTCCCCAAGAAAAATTAACCATTCTTACTTGTTCAATTAAGTTTTGAACTTGCCAATGTAACTCACATTTCAAATCTGAAAATGTATTCCAGGTTAAAGTAGTTTTCCCTATAATAAATACACATATACAGAAGTGTTGGTTGTTGAGAAAAAACAGAATAGACTCTAGTGTTGATCTTATAGTATCTTATCAGTATTTTCATAACATGAACAAGACAGTAACCACATCTTAATAATTAAATGATAGCTGCCTTTTGACGTGTGGTAACACACACACACACACACACACACACAAAATGAAAATAACTCATCTTCTTTTTTAGTGTACAGTTGTGCTACTAAAGGTTTGATTTATTCATTTATTTGATGTTTTTAAATCAGCTTAACAGGCAGATTTGATCCCTTAAACAAGGAATTTAAATTTAAAATGAACATCAACCTTGTGCTTTAATTTAACTGATGTTTGATTAATAAAGTAAGAAAACCAAAAAGGTTCTTCAAACATCTAGAAGATCTCTGCATGGATAAACGTGTTTGTTTCTATTGCTCTTTTTCTCTCAAAGGCACCATGTGGTGGATGTTCATTAATTCATCTCCTCCTCCAGCCTCTCTCCCTGCAGTCCTTCTTCCCTCTGGAAAATATTCTCCATTCCCTCCCCAACTCTCCTTCTTCTTCTTCTTCTTCTTTCCCACTCTACCTCCCTTCATATCTCCTTGAATCACCTTCTCAAAAGCCACCTTAACCCACGACCACTGGCCTTCATGTCACTGATGCTGATCTGCAGACTGGACTGAAGGATCTATGACAATATTGGGGTCGCATGGTTCAAGAAAAAACATCTGATTAGAGATGAAAAGGGCAACCTGACTTAAAAAAAGCTTTTTTCATTAAATAGACAAATAAAGTATATTCTGCAAGCAGCTTTTCTAACTCCTTCATTTCACCCTAAAAAAACATGTTTCCTTCCTTAGTTCCATCAGAAAATGTAGAGTATTTTAGCTTTATATTCTTTAAATGAATCAGCCTCTCTCAGAGGGGTGTTTGTACACCTGAGAACATTTTGGAGAAATGCAGAGAACTGAATAATTTTCTAATTTGAATTCCCCCCTGTCCTAAAGTTTGACAACAACAGCAAAATATGATAAAAATATACCATGCCAATAACATTGTGCAATACTGAAAAGGGATATGAAGTGGGATAAAAATAATGAGTCTATATAACCTATAGGTCAGAGTTTTCAATAACTTCCTTTTGATTTTGTTCATGTTTTTTTTACAACACTAACTTAGAACCAATTAATCTGAGTTACAGAGAGCTAGCATGAGCTTCATCATCCTCATCAAAATGTTGTAAAAGCACAGCCTGTATAAACAGGCCTCCATTCAATATGTAGAAAGTATACATGCTGCCTGAGAAAGAATTGCAACTAATTGTGCAACCCTAGTTTGCATCCATCATTTGAGCTTAATTGTATCTCGGAACATCCCGCCTTCCTCCTCTTTTAACCAACTTTCTCACTAATATTTTCACCCACAACCCCCCACCCCCTCCTGCCCTTCATCTGGCCCTGCTGAGTCCATCCAAACAGTTCTTTCATCATGCCTGTGGACTCAGATGGCACAGGGGTCACAGTTGAGACACGATGATTGGCCACAGTGCAGTGTTGGATGCAGCACAAACTCAGAGTTCATTAGGGATTGACGAGGGAGAAGGTTCTCTGTGTGTGTGTGTGTGTGTGTGTGTTGTGTGTGTGTTGTGTGTCAGACAGGGGGGGTTCAGACAGGCAGATCACCGGTGGCGCACAAACATACCCACACACCCCTTGAACAAAAACAATACTGTCTCACATAGACAATTATACCGGCACATCTAGGCCTACTACAAAATAAATTACACAATCCTTTTTCCCTGCAAAGGTGGGAACACTTTGTTAATGGAGAACATAAAACTGGAAATGACAACAAGTGATAAACTCTTAATAAATCAATGACAAGGAAAACAATTTCCATAATCTTGTTGTAATCACGAGTACCAGTGTGTTTGAGTGTAAGTGCAGCAGAGAGAGTGTTGGGGGGGGGGGGGTTGTTCCCTAGACAGATTAGGGGGTCCAGCCAGCCTTCATATTTTTTCCAGTAGTGTCGTCTGCTGGGACTCATCCGATTACAAAGCCATCCTTAACACCCTCTCAAAAACAGACATACACACACACATACACAATTTAAAGACAAAGGCATATACATCCAAGCACATACACTATGCAAATGGGAGGAGACAATTATATTCTCACCACCCACATAAACGCACACACATGAACACACAACGATATGAAGCGTCTTCTTCCATTTCAGTTTCTGGACGCAACAGACACAAAGACATACTAATCCTTACATAATCCCCTTCTGCTACCAAACACCAAACTCTGGTCATATCAACTCTCTCTCCCACACACCAGCCTGACGGATCCAAAACTACTTAAAAATGTGAGTTTCATATTGTAACAAACTCTTCACACCTAAAGGGCCTGCCCAACTCAATATGCATTCAAGCTTACATTGTTTCTTTGTTCAAGTGCCTAAGGTTGTTTTTTTTACTTGTATTTACTGTGACATTAAAACAACTTCATTATCTCAGCAGAGACTGTTTGACAATGCTCATGTAAGATCTGCAAAGACACAAAAACATTGTCAAGGCGTGACAACTTCTCTAACTTCTTCAATACACTCATTCCTGAGTTTAGTCTTCATTGGACACACCAACAGAGACATCTAGTGGTATGTTCAGGGAACTTCATGAATGCAGGACCATAACTGGAGAAGTGGAACTTAAGGAACAATTGGATGGATTCAAGAAAGGTTTCTTTTCCTTTCTCTTTTTTTTTCTGATATTCTGGAAACAGATCTCCAATTTAAAGGAAGCGGTGTTGAGAAAAGAGTCTATGTGTCCTATTTATTCTGTTATTCTGATTTATTTTTAAAATACACCATTTGTGCTTGTGTCCACCACCAGGATCATTTGAACACAATCCCTACAGCTCCAACTCTTTTGTGATAACTGATCAGTCCTTTAAGTCATTTTTCAAACAAAAGTTCTACCATTGGCTTAATCCAGCTTTTATATGTGAGGATGAGCAATTTTTTTCTATTAAGAATACTTTAAAGGGGCTAGATGTAACTTTCAAAAATACTGCGTTTGTAGCGATACAGCAGGCCACAGGTGAACTGCACCAGTAACATCTTGCTCGCTCGCTTGCTCGTCAAATGTGCTCGTACGTACACAAACGAGCATCATCATCGGCCGACTGGATATTTACTGGCTTAATGTTTACAAAGTAGGTAAGTGGTCATTCACATGTGAAAGCCTGTGAAGAAGTCTGTGTTGTGCTTGAGGCCGGTCATTTATTTGTACTAACAGATTCCAGATTAGATTCATTCTCCATCCTACAAACGACAGTGTGTGATGAGTTTGTCCGCCTTTGAGAAGGCGGATAGAAGTGAGTGGAAGACGGCCTCTGGCTGTAGTGGGAGTGTGTGATGAGTTTGTACTGTTGATCTCTGTAAGCGGAGTGAGGAGGATGATGAGAACGTGCATAAAATGTCACTTCCTGGAGCTTTCGTGGAAAATACGACTCAGGGAAAAATGTTATACAGGCAACACAGATAGACAGTGAACATCTACTTTTTCACATCAGTTAACCTTTCGCTTAATAATGGGCGATAAAAAACGATTTATATATGTAAAAAGTTACATATAGCCCCTTTAAACTGAGTTTAATATGGGTTTTGATGAGACACAACAAAACATTTAAATATCTTGAAGTTAAATGATCTTAACAAACACCAGTGTTTATTAATAGGACTCACCGAGTTTGTATGTCAGCACATACAGGACTGTCCAAGGGGTGCCGGGCACTGCCAGCAGCTTCTTCCACACCCTCCATGGCCTCATAGCGTCCGCCCCTTGCCCTGCCCTCCTGCTTCCCTCTCCCTGCTGTCCCCTTATAGTCTCCTCGTCTAGCACAGGGGCCCCCCACACAAATAGAGCCACGCCTGCGTACACAAATGTCAACAGCATGAACATCCAGCTCCATCCAGCCACGTCAATTACTGCCAGCAGCCCACCTCCTGCAAACACCGATCCAGCTTTATAACCTACAACTTGTGCTGAATTTCCCAGCCCCAGCTCTCCACGACCTTTAAGCAACCCCACCGCAGCCCCATCTACAGCGATATCCTGGACAGAGGCCAAGGTGTTCATGGCCAGCAGGGTTGCTGCTACTCCCCAGATATGTGCTTCTGGGGCAAGGGCGGCGCTGGAGAGGCAAGTCAGAGCCAGCCCAGAAACTGTCCCCACCAGCCAGCGTCGCTTGGTGCCAACCCGGTCCACAAAAGGGGCCCAGAGCACCTTGAGGACCCAGGGGAAGTAGAGGATCTTTGTGAAGCCGATGCGGGTGAGGGAGTGACCAGCTCCACGCAGGTAGACAGGGAGCAGGGATGACTGGAGACCATAAGGGATGCCCTGTACAAAGTACAACAAGCCCAGGAAGACTAGTTTGTCGTTCATGATCTACCTCCAAAACAGACCGTCTTTATCTGAGCAGACTCTGCAGCGGTCCATTGGTCAGGATATGAGCATTGATTTGTGATACTGCGATGTACTGACTGGCCCAGATGAACAAATTCACCTGAAACAAAAAGACATTGTGTAGTTCAGTTTAAATAGTGTTGAATTCATCATTTTGCTGAAGAAACACTGGGGTGTTTTATTACAAACATCCTTAAAAGGATGCATCTCTGTGCCCAGCTCAGTTACCAGTAACCTGGCTAATGTTAGCTCCTCAAAGTCAAACGATTAATAACCATAAAAGTGTCAGAAATGACTGGCAACACGTTTGTTTTTATCATTTCCTTTGGATCAAACAAAAACGTGACTTTGCACCGTTCACATTTTGCAGACATTTATGAAGAAAACTTCACAGTGTCAATCTACTTTAACAAGCTACTGTTAGCAAGCTAGCCTCCTGACATGCTAATATTAGTAAACAGTTTCTTTCAAACACATGCTGTACGCGGGACAATACAAGTTTGGCCAATAATGCTATCATACAAATCCTTCGTATCTGTTATGAGACACATTTTGACACATACTGGTAGAGAAAGTTTGTTAGCCTAGCTTCAGCAGACCAGTGAAGGTGCTCCGCTTGTTTATAGTTGAGAGGTCTGTGTGAGGTTGCCAGGTTTGGTGACAGCATCCCCCAGTTGAAGAATGTGTTACCGGGTGCGACTTAAATATTTTCACATGTACAATTTGTCTACCCTATGTGCCCTCATTAAGTAAAGATTTAATCACTGTAATTCCAGGACAAAAGTTGCCTGATGTTTTTAGATGTATAGGTCTAAGCAGCTACAAATTGCCACACAGTAAAACCAGAGTCCAAGTTCCAGGGTCCTGAATTGAAAATGTGAATTTGTTTATTTCCACTGTGGATTAATTTACTCATCAATCTTAGGCAAAAATACTGTTGCTTTTGCCTTTGCCTGTCAAATTTTTAGACAGCTGACATGTGAAGAGAGAGCAGGGATGACCTGCTCCTCTGTAGCATCTGTAGGGGTCACCTGCTCTACTTTACCAATTGAGCTATAAACTTACGACAGCTACATGTGGCAACTTTAAAGGGGACATATTATGAAAATTCCACTTTTACAGTGTTTTTTAACTTATATTTGTCTACCGACCCACAAAATGTGAAATAAATCAATCCAGTCCTTTGTTTGTGGTCTGCATAAGTCTTACAACACAGAGAAAAGTGTTCCGTTTCAAATTTGCTCAACTTGTGATGTCACAAGTTGGATTCTGGTAAAAACAAAAGCCCTTCCCTCACCGGATATCTTCACCCATGGACTCCAGCCTAGAACAAAACTTTTGAGCAGGTCTGCCATTTTTAGTCTTGCTACAGAGGATTGATGTCTACTGGGAAAACTCAGGGGGGCTCATTGCATTTAAAGAGACACACACACCAAAACGGAGCGTTCTGAGAGAGCTGGTTTATACAGGGTCACAAACCTCCTCTGGTGCTTGATTCATGTAATATTTTGACCAAAGCACAGTACAGATGTTTCATTTAGACCACAGGGGACTTTTTTAAAAGGTAGAAAAGGGGTATAATATGCCCTCTTTAAATGTTTAAACAAAGCTTATAATATAACAAAGCATCATGTCATATATGGACTCTAAATACATGTTTTCAGATATGTAAAAAGTACAATAGTTCCCTTGGTGGAGTACATAGGCCCTACAAATTGGCTTAAAATGGGAAGATAAAACTAAAGAGAGAGAAAGTTGATTTGTTTTAACAAAAATAAAGAGTTTGGTTAATGATACTTGTGGCTATTTGCCATTTCAGCAGCTGTATGATAGATGTCAATCTGCTCTGTGGGTGATGATGGCAACACAAGTTTTCTTTTCTTTTTTTAAACATTACAATATTTAGATATTATTCAGTCATTTCCTGTTAATGTTTTTATTTTCAATTTCTAAATATCGGATTTGCATGTGATTCTGAGCCCAAATATGAAGTTGATTGTTCTTCAAGACGATTGCAGTATTTGTTATTTTTTTGTTGTTGTTTTTGTAATCTGTTTTTGCTATAATGACAAATACTATAATCATCACTGCCTAATTATTTAGAGCTATACAATAGCATGCCATTCATGTCTGTCTGATATGTGCATGTGCAAAGAACCAACAACACACAAGTAGGCATTTTTACAAAAAGCTTTTTACTTCAGGATTTCCATGTGCCTTCAAGGGTACTTCTCCTGCTGCAATGGCAATAAGATCGGAAGACGATGATCTTTATATATATGTATAAGCAGCTGCACTGTGACGACAGAGGTAAGAACCTAATGAGTGTAAGGCTAAGTCTACTTTAGAGAGTACTGGTCCACTGCTGCAGATCCATGTGTGCTGCTTTAAAAGTAGTTGTAGAGAAAACATCTGCTGAAGCGGTGATGATTCCATGTAAATCTTTGCTTAATACTGTAAATATCTACTAAATGTCATGACAGTCACAAAGAGACTTGTCTTGTCCATTCTCCTCATAGGGCACAATATGTGTTATCATATATCAGTGGCTTTCCACAGCTGGACCCGCTGCTGGATCTTCAGTTGGATGAGCCTTGATCTTGTTGACACGCTCTTAGTTTTCCCCACAGAGAGCGAGCAGGATTTTCTCATAGTCTCCCTTAGTGTCATCCTGAAAGACAGACAGGTAGCGTGTAAACATGAAGAACATTTAGGATGGGGTATACTGATGTTATCAGTGGTAAGGTGTTTCCTCACCAGAATCTCCTGGTAGAGTGTTTTGCCATAGTTTTTCTTGTACTCTTCCTTGATCCGCTTCATGTCGATTTCAGAGCGACTCACCATGATGCGAGTTAGGGCATTTTTTCGGGGACTTTTACCCTGAAGCGCAAAAAAAAGAAAAAATTGGAAATTGGAAATTTTGGGAATTGGAAAGACAAAGGGCTCAGTATCCAGGGTGAATTTTTCAAAAGTTTTGTGAGCAGAAGTTTGATATGTATTTTACCTTCATGGCCAAGTGGAGTTTCTCGGCAAAGAACGCAGGCCTGCTGCCAGCACACTTCACTATGGTTACATAAAAAAATTATTTAAAGTAAGTCCATGCATACATCACTGGATAATAATTCAAGTCATACAGTTAAAATAGAGGTTTGTTCCTTTACCTACTGCAGTGAGACAACTTTCTATATCTCCCTTCAGCTCCAGGTCGATGGCTTTAGCCACGTCCACTTTGCTGTACTTAGAATATCTCTCAAACACTGAAGAAGTCAAAGTAGAAGAAAAGTATTAATGTGGAACAATATGAGAAAAAAACAGAATTTTCTGATCAGGACAGGGGGACAATCAGCTGACCTCTCCGGAGATGTGGGGCGCTCCTGGTGATAAGAACGTCGATGAAGACGGAGCAGGCCGTGCCCTTCCTCCCCTCTCCGGCCTCGTACAGGGCCCTGGCATCGCTATCAATCATCTGCTCACACACTCCTTCAGTCCTGTTGGCCTGTGATGAAGACAAGCCGAACTATTTCAGTGCTGAACACAACTCATACAAATTGCTAAGAATTGTATGAGATTTATGATTGTAAGCTTAAGTATTCTACTTTGTGTTTGACACCAATAAGACATGTGACATAATTACTTTTCTCCTGTTTTAGAGCAATCCTCATTTCTAGTTTACTGCATGTTTGAACCACAAAATGTGTGCAAAGTTTCTAAGCTATAAGAATCGATAGTGTTTAAATTTTAATTAATATAATGTTCTCAACTTTTCTGTGTTTTGAAGCTAAAATAGTTAAAAGCAACAGAAATATTGATGAATAATGTAAAATAAGTAGTGGTCATCTCTATAAGACTATTAAACAGCTTTTAAAAGCACAAAAAAGCAGAATGAAAAAGACTGAGTTATTATTATTATTTCCCCACAAGTCTAACACTGACACACTGCAGCTTGCTTTATTAACAGTTTGCATTTCTCTTAATTGTATTAATATGCAGCTTAAGACAGATGACAGACAAAATGTGACAGAATGCGAAGCATACTGTCTATTTGACCTTTTAAGATGCCTAGATAAAGTCATAAAAGGACTCACTGTTGACCCTATGCTGTGTAAGCATGAAATGAGGGAGTGAGTTTGTTTAGCTTTTATAAACCACTGTCACTATAAAGCCCCAGTCGGGAGTGTTATGTTGCATCAGATATTAATGCATCCCGGTGCAGTCACTGAAAAGTTTCTGTACTAAACACGGCTTCAAAATCCTGTAACAGATCTTGTTTTAAAAAGACACCAAAAAACAAAAGAAAGGATGTGGAGACATACTGACCTTGCACAGTTCAAAGAGTGCAGCCCTGAAATCTCCACTAGTGTCACCCTTGATGTCGTCCTCAAGGTCCTTTTTGTAATCTTGGTAAGGAAATCCATACATAAACATCCAGTATTTGAAACGATGAAAAAAAAAGTATTTTTATCAATACCCTCATATGTTTTACCCTTTTTATTGCAAAACACCAGCTTTAAGAAAACGAGCGCTGTTGTTGAAAGTTTTCTGGCACTCACCTTCTTTGTAGGCTTTCTTTATATCCAGAATCTCTCTGTTGTTTCTGGAAGCCATAACCTCTATCAGGGTTTCCTCGTCTGTGCCTACACCCTTAAAAAATGTAAGTACAAGCACATTTATACAGGGGAAAATGATCTGCTCTTCACTTGGCCAAATGAAACAAAACACATCGTTTAACCTCTTGATAAGAAAACAATAAAAGAATAAGTGGAAGTGGGTGGATGTCACTGTGTACCTAAAAATAACAGGTGATGATAAGGCGTGTGCATGTGAGTATGAGTGTGTGCGTGTGTGTGTGTGTGTGTACCTTCATAGCTCCTTTCAGTAGATAGGCATCATACTGGGCCGGGGTTTTCAGCAGAGCCAAAACCACATCCTCCAGATCTCCCTTCAGAGCACTCTTTAGAGCTGACTCCAGAGCCTACAAGGAAACAACAAATCAACAAACATGGAGTCTGATCATCTCATGTATGCTATGTAAGAATATACAAAGTGTGTACATATTTTTATTGATTTCTTATTACCTTGCCACTGGCCTTCTGGTAAGCCTCTTTAATCTGCTGTCTCTGCTCGTTGCTCCTTTTCACCAGAATTTCAATGATGGTGTTCTCATCCACACCTGCACACAAGCCATTTTGTTAAGTAATGAAGTGGTGGTTAAAGTTGTCTGTGTCACTTTAGGGCCCATGCAAGAGAGGAGTGAGTAGTAATGGTGCATGATGACCAGCAGAGGGGGTTAAAGTGAGTAAAGCAGATTCTGTAGTGGCATACAAGAGACAGTGAGGCCATGACATGTTGCCACACGTTCAAAAGCTTCCATATAGGCGTTTTTCTATTTACCTTTTGTCTTGATGGCCTTTTCCAAGACTGCTGCATCTCCATCGGGGCTGAAGTTGGGTGCTGCAGTCACCGTCCCCTCTTTCTTCAGGACCTAAAAGATGCACAGAACGGATTAGTGTATGTTTGGTAAATACTTGAGCTCTCCTTGGTGGTGTGCATCATTGCAAAAGTGCATTTCCAAGTGCCTTGGATGAGTCAAAGGCTATTTTTATCTTGTTTTTTCTGGCCTTGCCATTGCCAGTAATAATCCACCCTGCTAT